AAGAACAAAAATGGTGGTTTAGTGCTTGAAACCTAAGAAAACAAAAATAGGAATTTGAGGGGCCATTTGGACTCCGATTTTGGTGTTCTTTATATGTATAGACTCGTGGCGAGATAAGGAATCCGGTGATGTTAATTTTCTGATTTTTTGAGAAGTGGGCCCGGGGCTCGGGTTTTGCCAACTTCGTGATTTTCGATGTTTTTCGAGTCTTTTCGATTGGGTTATATTCCCTTAGCATATTGTGACGTATTCGTTGTGGTTTTGGTCAGATTCAACGCACGCGGAGGTGAATTCGAAAGGCAAAGGCATAGCATGCTAGGACTTTGGCCAGCTTGAGGTGAGTAATGATTGTAAATGATATTTTGAGGGTTTGAAACCTCGATTTGCACATCGTAGTGCTATGTGAGGTGACTTGGATGCCGGATAACGGGCGTCGGGTAGAGCACCGTCGGGGATTGTGACTTGGTCCGTCCCGCTTAATAAAATTACTACCTAATTGATTGTAGTTTTGTGATATCCTTATAAAAATGGATTAATTGCCATAATTGGGCTTCGTTCCAACTACTTGAATCCTTCAGGGATTATTTTACTGGTTTCTTACCATATTTCTAGATATTGAACTCAGTCCTGATATTTAACACTGTTTTTGTAAACTCGGCCATTTTTCTAAAAGTAAAAACTAAAGTAATATTTTTAAATGAAGTTTGGGCTGAATATTTTTATATTATTGTGCCGAAAGGCTTATGTGATTTTGGACTGAGTATGGGATCGGACTGCACGCCGCAGTGGTATAATAATGATTTTGATATGAGGCCAAGGGCCTGTTTGATGCCACGAGATGGCTTATTATTGCTCTTGGGCCGTAAGGGGCCCCTCCAGGAGTCTACACACCCCCAGTGAGCGCCGTCGACGTTAAATAAATGGAGTGGGCTGCACTGCCGTAGCGGGGTACTGGAGGTACCGGTTTATGTGTTGCATTGCATATTTTAATTGTCATTTATTCTTTATCTGTTGTGGTATTATTATAATTGTCTTCGCCGTTTTACTGTATATATAGCTTTACCTTGTGTTTAGTTGGGATTTTTTGTGACGACCCAAAGGGTCATCACCTATTCCCTTATCCATTCCGTGCTTTCGAGGCCTTAAAACCTCATTTTTACTTGCCTCGATTTGCGTGCGCAGTCCGACCGCGTAGCCAGAAAGCTTTTATGTTGAAATATGTGAATTCCGTGAAAAATTTGAAGAATTTTGATATTAATATGATTATAGTTCACTTTGGTCAACATTTTTGGTAAACGGACCCAGACCCGAGATTGGACGGTCCCGGAAGGTCCGTAGAAAAATATGGGACTCGGGCATGTGCCCGGAATCGAATTCCGAGGTCTAGAGCCCGAGATATGAATTTTTTCGTGAAATTGTTTTTATAAAATTATTAAGGAAAATGGAAATGAAAATTGATTAAAAGACTATGGTATCGGGCTCGTATTTTGGTTCCGACGCCCGGTACAAGTCTAAAATATGTGTTAAGCGCTTTCTGTAAAGTTTGGTCGAAATCGGACGTCGTTTGACATGTTTCGGACTCGAAATGGAAATTTGAGATTTTATGAACATTTCAAAGAAAATCATGAGTTTTGAGGCTTGATTCTATGTATATAATGTTAGGGCGATTTGATCGCAAGAGCAAGTCCGTAGGATGTTTTCGAGGTTGTGTGCATGTTTTGTTTGGAGCCCCGAGGGCTCGGGTGAGTTTTGGATAGGCATCGGATTGCATTTCTCATGTTTTAAAAATCTGGTATGCTGGCTTCTGCAATTTTCGCAAATGCGAAGGGAAGACTCGCAATTGCGAGGGGGGAGGTTCGCAAATGCGAAACCCCGCCTGTAGGCCCAGTGTTCGCAAATGCGAACCAAGGATCGCAATTCCCAGCCCTGTCTTGTTCGCAAATGCGAACCAAGGCTCGCAATTCCCATATCCGAGGCCAAGCAAATTTTATACTTAGTCGAATTTTCATCACTTTTCACCATTCTTTCAAAACCCAAACACCATAGGCGATTTTTCAAGAGCAAACTTCATCCCAAATCATTTGTAAGTTGATTTTTACTCAATTCTTTCAACTTTTAACATCATTTAACATGTTTTCCACTTGAAATCAAAGATTTTCATGGGTGAAATTGCGATTTTTGAGTAGAACCTAGGTTTTTTATAAATTGGGGAGTTGGAACTCGATTTGAGGTCCGATTTCAAAACAAATTATATATTTGAACTTGTGGGGGAATGGGTAACCGGATTTTGGTTCGAACCTCGAGTTTTGACCACGTGGGCCCGGGGGCGATTTTGGAATTTTTGGGAAAAACTTGGGAAACTCAATTTTTTATGCATTCAATTTGATTCATATAATGTTTATTAAAGTAATTGAGCAATGTGTGATTAGGTTCGAGTGAATTAGAGGTGGAACCGCGAGGTAAAGCAATAGTTGAGGATTAAGTGGATTTCAATGCTTTGAGGTAAGTGTTTGGTTTAACCCTAGCTTGAGGGAATAGGAGTTGAGTCTTGTTGCTAATTGCTATGTGATAGAGTACGATGTATAGGCATGGTGACGAGTATCTATACATTGGTGTCTAGCATGACCGTGAGTCCTTATAACGTGATTGTCATGACTTGGTTGTCAACTCCGTGTTTATTGGAGGATTTCTATATGTTGTGAATAACATGTGAACGGTAATATGATCATTTGATTCCTGGGAGCATAGGCTCGAATTGTGATACGAATATTGAAATTATACGAAATGATTTGTTTCTTTGGAGCGTTGGCTCAAAATAGTAGAGTGAACTCTAAGATAAGAAAAGTTAGAAGGAGAAAGCGTTGTTGGTTATTCCCTTGCCGGGATGTTTGTCAAATATTTACTTATTTTTATGCCCCTTAATTGTGACTGTTGTTTGGGGAGTCGGACTGTTAAATGATACTGGGGATCGGGTTGCGCGCCGCAACAATGATATTGAGGATCGAGTTGCATGCCGCAACAGTAAAAGGTGAGGATCGGGTTGCACGCCGCAACAATGATACATGATAAATGATATGGGTCGGGTTGCACGCTGCAATAGTGGTATTTGTGGAGCGGGTTGCACGCCGCAACAATAGTAATTATGGAGAGGGTTGCACGCTGCAACAGCTATTGAGGCTATGTGTTTGTACTGGAGTATTGATTCCTTTGTTCATTGTGAACCTAAGCTGTTTTAGTTGTTACTCTGGATTGTTGTTAATATTGTATCTCCCCTTAGCATGTCTCCCCTCCCATGTTGTTAATTACTTGGTATTCAATTCCCGCTGTATAGTTATAACTGCACAGGTTTATGTGATGTCCAGTCTAGCCTCGTCACTACTTCGCCGGGGTTAGGCTAGACACTTACCAGCACATGGGGTCGGTTGTGCTGATGCTACACTTCTGTGCATTTTTGCACTGGTCCAGGTTTTGAGAAGCAGCAGCAGCAGTAGTTCGGGAGCAGACTTTCCTATTCACGAGACTGAGGTAGCCTTGCAGGCGTCCGCAGGCCCGGCGTCTCTTCTTTATGTTTTCCTTTCGACTGTTGCGTCATTGTTTTCGAGACAGACAGCTGTTATATTTCTTTCAGACCTTTGTATTTATTTTATTCTTAGTGGTTCGTGAGTGATGTGACACCAAATCTTGGGTAGAGGCTATTGTTGACTATTCCGCATTTTGATTCAGACTTATAAATTAGACTTTCGCTATTATTATTATTATTAAATTCCATGTTTCTTATTGATGCTATGGATTGTTAACAAATTTATTTATTAATGAAAGGTAAATAAGTTGGCTTGCCTAGCTACCACGAGTAGGCGCCATCACGATCCCGATGGTGGAAAATCCGGGTCGTGACAGTTATACAATTCATGAGTACTTCAAAAGTGTGAGAAAATTTTTATCGGTACTAATAACTCAAACTTTCTTACTATTATCAATATCACTAACAACAAAAAATAAGCACACAAATATAACCTCAGAATAATCACTTTTTATATTATCCAGTTAGCTCAAAGTTATCAGGCCAGGCCACTTACAAGTAAAAGTGCACACAATTATACGGGCCATTGAGTGGTGGGTCAAATATTTATTAAAATTATAATTACCGTTTATCGATTTTCTTTTCTTTGTAATCAAAATACTAGATGCAGTGGAGGAACTATTACTAGCATAACATAAGCCATAACTCCAAGAATTCATGTAACTGACACAAACTCATACTGAAAAAAATTCAATTACCTATTCGGTTTTCTAAACTTTAATAATTTAGACAAGGTCAAGAATGAAAATTATTGAGAAGTTAAATTGTCAACTCAAAAGACTTAAAAACACAACATAAGTAATGGAGCAGTAAACCTGGAGCATAGCAGACTCTCTTTCAAGTCCAACCTCACACTTACCTGCTTTTGTACTTACTAGTTATAGTAGTTATTCTTTTCTGATTCTCGTAATGAGACTAATCAGAACATGGGCGGAAGAATAACCAAACTCAAATCTTGGTTAGAGACTCGTGCTGATAACGTGTTACGAAACTTAGCTCAAAGTAACAATATAGAACAATAAAATAGACAACAATGTAGAGAGGAAGAGAGGAAAGAATCTTATTTCTTCTATGTATTCAAGTGTATACAATGTGATGCCAAAACCCTCTATTTATAGGATTACATAGAGGCATACAAAAGAATGCCATAAACATGACATTAAACATTTGAGATCATGGAGGAAGATCATGGGAGGTTATGGAGGTGTGGGAGTTGCAACTGTAATGGTGAGAAATAGTGGGAGTTATCTACATAATGGAGAAGAGTAGTGGGAGTAACTTCTTAAGTAGTTATAGACATCCACTACAAAATAATATTTCATAACACAAATCATTTTTTTATTTTATTTTAAAATCAAAATACTCAAAGTGGTGAGTTGTGGTTATTTTTTTTAAATTTCTTTTTCGATATCCTCCTCTATATTGAAGGGTTTTAGAATCTCTAATAAGGCCTAATACCCTTCCCCTTACGCGCGCTCCGAAGGACACCGGCGTAATATTCCGTCGGAGGCTAATTTAATCTCCGGTGAACATCGCCGGAAATACGCCGGTGTTACGATGTTACGAATAGGTTCTACTCTCCGTACAACACGAAAGCTCTTAAACAGAAATCTCCACTTTCAATACCCTATTATCGCCGGAGATGTAGCTCCGGTACATCACCGACGTCAAGAGCTCCATCGCTTTGTTCGGTGTTGCAATTATAGCAGCACTGTTGATAATACTTCTGTTTCCACCTCATTTTTTCCCACTTTGAGCAACAGCAATAGCTCAACAACTTCTGCAGAACCTCATGCCGAGAGAGCTGAGGAAAATGATAGTCTTCAATCCGATGTATCGGAAGTAGAACCGGTGGCGGCGGTGGAGCAGCGGTTAAGTAGTGGAATGGAGGATGCTTATTTAGCAATAGAGCTAGCATTGGATTCTGTAGTTAAGATATTTACCGTTTCCAGTAGTCCTAATTACTTCCTTCCCTGGCAGAACAAGTCCCAGCGTGAAACTACCGGCTCTGGTATTTTTTTTTCTTTCATTTATTTTCCAAATATGTTATTCTCTATCAGTGTAATGCTTCCGTTTTTTACTAGGTATTGTGAAAATTTTACATATTGGCACTTCATTTACTAAGGAAGCCTTGTCAAAAGGCTATTTTTTGTGTTGTTGTTCATTGAGATCAGTGGCGGAGCCAGGCTTTTTGTTAAGGAGTGTTAAAATATATATATAAGTAAATAGACAAAAAATATAAGGGGAGTCAACATAGTGTATATGCATATGATTTTTTCTTTTACCTACCTATGTAGTATATTTTTTTCCCGTGAGTGGTATAAGGTGACTCTGCAACTGATTGAGATAAATAGTTTGCTGTTGTCCCAAGGGCTGCAAGTATTATAGATTTGTTGTCCCAACGCCAACGCCAACTAGTTTAGGATTGAAGCATGAAATTATTGATGTTGTAACTACAATTAGTTTTGGGATTGAGGAGTGTTGATTGATTTGTTGTGGGGACTCGATTTTGGAAGGTGAATTCTCTTATCTACTTTTTGTTACAAGGTGGGGGTTCAATTCCCCACCTTGTAATCCCCTCCCCCATTTCCCCTTCCGACCCTCTATGTATAATAAATTATTTTCTTAAAAAAAGAGAATACAGAGCTCATATCAAGTATAGTGACCTACTAAATGTCTAAGAGAACACAAGGCTTACTTTTGGATTTTGCATTCTTAATGTTATAGGTTTTGTTATTCGGGGAAAGAGGATCCTAACAAATGCTCATGTTGTGGCTGATCATACGTTTGTACTTGTAAGAAAGCATGGTTCCCCTACCAAGTATAGAGCAACAGTGCAAGCTGTTGGTCATGAATGTGACTTGGCTATTCTGGTGGTAGAAAGTGAAGAATTCTGGGAGGGCATGAACTCTTTGGAGCTTGGTGATGTTCCATTTCTCCAAGAAGCTGTGGCTGTTGTTGGTTATCCTCAAGGTAATTTTTTTTTATTCAGTGGTTATCCTCAACGTGATTATTTTTCTTGTAACTCATTCGAGACGAAATATAAACAACACCTCCCCCCCCCCCCCCCCC